CATTTGTTCAATTTTCCATGCAGTTGTGTTATATTCATCCCAAGTAGATTTGGGAGGTTTAAGGGCCTTAAACTTGTACTTTTTAATGGGAGTACTTGAGGGAGGAGGAGCTGTTTGTATATGAGCATGAATTGTGAGTTCTTCAAAAGGTCTGTTTTATTATATTTTTTTTTATTAATATACTATTTTATAGTATTTGGATCCTTGTGAACCATTTCACTGGCTTCATATTAATTACTCAAAAGATCAAAGTAAGAATTTTGTTTAAGAATGGTTAAAGAATTATTTTAAGAAATAAATACATCTCTATTTTTTTGTAATATTTATATAACATTGTATAATAATTCACAAATAAAATTAAAATATAAAATTACTTCAAACTATTGCGTAATTTTCTTTTCTCTTCTAGCATTTGGCGTAATGCAATTATATCAGCACTTTTTTCGATTGTCGGAGTGACTTTAGCAGTAACTTCTTGTTTTTTCAACAAGGGCTTGTTTTGAGATATAAAATCCTTTAAATTTTCTACCATTTTCTGCCGTTCTTCTTTCTGCTTCAGAATCTGTTTTCTCTTCTTCTCCAACTCTAGTCGCATTTCCATCTTCATAATCCCAAGTCTTTCCTGAAGTTCCGCTATGGACATTTCGCATAACAACCCTAAATTGGGAGTTTCTGTAGGATCGAATTCTTTGAAATTACATCTTATTTGATTTAACGCTTTAATCTCTTTAATAATTTCCATTTTTTGCTCTAAATCTCTCATTTTTTCTTCCTCTGCTTCTTTGAGCATTTGCCTCATCTCGTACTGTTGTATTCTAGCTTGTTCTTGTTTCTGTTCAATGAGTTTCTTTTCGCTTTCTTTAGCAGCAGATTTAATATTTTGACATTTCTCTACTAAAGATTGAATTTTATTTTGTTCTTCTTCGCGCCAACGATCGAGTTCAGCCAAGAGTTCAACTCTTTCTTCCTTAAATTTTTCAAATTTTTCTTGGTTGACTTGTAGTAATCTTCTTTTCGCTATAATAGCGTCTTCGTGAGATAACAAACCTTTCAAATGATTTGCCTCTATTTTCTTAAGGTCGTTAACTTCATTTTCTTTCTTTATTTCCTCCTCAATCGTCTCTATAGTTTCTGTGCAATATCCTCCTTTTAGTAAGTTATTAATTTTATATATTTCTTCTTCCTGACGTTTGAGGATTACGGATGCTTCCCTCAACGTAGTTGTTAGGTTACCCTTGATATTAATATTCTTGAATATAGGAACCGGAGTTGGTTTATTAGTGATACGTCTAGTTTCTGTACTTTTAATACTTTGTCTTGGTTTAGCTAACCTTTCCGGAACTTTGGAGGCTTGGAGTAGAAGTTTTTTAGCCCTTTTTTTGTTGTCATAATGCATTTGTTCAATTTTCCATGCAGTTGTGTTATATTCATTCCAAGTAGATTGAGGAGGTTTAAGTGCTTTAAACTTGTACTTCTTAAGGGGAGTACTTGAGGGAGGAGGTGGTATTTGTTTAATAGAATGATTTGTGAGTCCTTCGAAAGGTTTGCATATGGTATTTGATTTCTTGTAAACTATTTGACTCGCTTCATATTTATTACCCAAAAGAACAAACGTAGGGATTTTGTTTAAGAAGGGATAAATTATTTTTTCCAAAACGTATTCGTCCTCGAAATATCTACAAGCCACTTGGCAGAGAAACAAATGTTTATTTGTGTCGGTTAACATTGCCAGGAGGTTGCATAAATAAAAACATTTCATCCGTATCATGCTAAGGAGAAGGGTGTCCAAATTTTCATCGTCTAACACAAATATTATAAGATAGAGAATAGCTTCTACGTTGTGTATGTTCAGTCTAGTTAAAATATACTTCTCCATAAAATATTTTGCGATGAAATTGAGGAAATCCTCATGTTTATTTAACTGCAAGAGATGGAAAATTATCACAGGATTTAACGTCTCTGATTGGGCTTCTTTCAGCTCAAGGTATTGCTTAAGGGATAAGGTCTTATTGGACTTAAAATCATTGTAGGTTTTTGTAATATTTCTGGCCAATTTTTCATCGATATTCATTTTAATAGCATGTTATACTCTGATCGTGGAAATTTAACATTTGACAAGTAATATCTGTCAATACACAAATGTTAAAGTGACATATATGAAAAATATTAGATCCATTCTTTGAATAAGAAGACTAAGAATACGCATAAGACTAAGGCATATCAAAAATCTTAGGTCCACCGCGATGGGCCTCAAATATGGCCGACTTAAATTCGCGTTTATCAGTGCCGTTCTAATTTTATTTAAAAAAATGTAAAACTATGATGTAGGGTAGACGTGGGGTAGACTCAATAATATATTGTTTTATTTGACATCGTGAATAAATGTTGGTAGTTATTAAAATTGTTACAAAAATATATAATTCTAATAAAAATAGATAAGTTATAATAATTATTTATTAGCACAAACATCCGATACGCTACTGAAGCAGGTAAATCTGGTAAATCAAATTGACGTATCTAATTTTTGACAAGTAGTAAATAAAAGCAAAAATGCCAGAAAAAATATATAATTAGTTAATTTAAATGAATTTTATAAATGATCGGTTTACTACACGTATGTATATTATATAGTCACTTACTAGCGAAAAGTTGTTCCATTATTTCACTCGATTTTTGCCGAGATCTACCGCACGCCACACAACCAACTATTTTAGAGTCTTTTTCGACAAATTGCGATAGTGTCACTGTTAATTTAAGTTCTGCCACAATTTCCATCTAGATTTACTACCTTTATACAACTATCAGTAGTAGAATAAATAATAAATAACATAAAATAAGCTCCGTCAAGTCTGACAAATCCATAAAATTTCAAATCAAATTCAAATGTGTCAAATGAATCGTCAAACAGAACTGTCAAGGATCCCCACCCTAGAGTGCTTTTTCCGCCCACCATGCATGAATACATTGATAGCATTATGCTCCTTCCTTAATCTTCTTATTCAAAGGATTCATTCTATCCCTAGATCATATAGCAAGAATATATGATCTAGAATTCTATCATAATTTTGTTACCAAATACTTTCGAAGATAAGTTCATAATATTGAACATAGAGTATTAGATATTTTTAATGAGTTTAAGATTAAAATTTTCGATAATTTTTAATCATTATTACTGTTTGGAAATACTACAGTAATCTATTTCATATATTATTATAGCTGACAATTATATTTTTAAATCTATCCGAAATCTTACTTTTTAAAGAATTTTTCAAGAATTCTGATAATTTAGAAACCTTCTAATAGAGGTCTTTGCAAATGGCCTACTATTACAAAGAAAGGCACATGGTGCCTATTAGGAAGGCACATGGTGCCTACAAAGGAAGGCAGTGATTCCTTATAAGGTCAATCAAAAATTTGGCGGTTGGCCTTGCTGGGGTACATGGGCCTTACTAAGAACATTTACAAATCATGAAAATATGAACACTTAGTTTTTAATTCTAAATACGTACCGGGAAAGTTGAAACAATGTTTATTGTTTATGAAATTATTATTTATAAGTGTTGTTCAATTTAGGGCCTTACAAAGAACAAACCCATAAGAAGGCCATTATAGGTAATTTTTGTTTTTTGAAATTTCATTCTAAAACGCATTGGCAACTTATTTGTTATCGATACAATACTCATTACTCTAATTTGTAAACAGTTTCCATTAATATATTCTTAGCTATACGAAGGTATTCAAGGAATGTCAATTTTTCATTTAAATGAAAGAGCTTTTTATGTAGTTTTAGTAAAAGTGGATATTTTGATTATTAGAACTCTAGTTTTAAGTTGAACGACTGATTTGTAATATTGACCTTGTATTTTTTTTGACTTTTGTATTTTGACTTTTTGTATGACTTTTGTATTTCCTGTTCCTTGCAAGGATTATTATCTTCTATTAAATATATTTTATTAATCTTTTAACAAAAGCTAGTATCTGAGACGGCTCCACGGAGGCCAGCTCTCCATCCAATGGTCGTCGTCTCGGCGCACTCAGTGATAAGGTGTTCTGGCGTTTCCCCATTTTCCCCACAGAATCTGCATTCACCGTTATTTCTCAGCTTCAGCCTACTGAGGTGTTCGTTGAGGACAGTGTCCTGTTAGAAATCCCGTGACAAGCCGAAGATTGTTTTCGCTTAAATCAAGGAAAACCTTTGATTTTTCTCAAAGTCTTGAGCGAGTGTCTTAGACCGTTGGAGGACACTCATTCCAAGTTACGGATGGAGTCTTCCAGATTCTTCAGTTCCGCTATCAGTTGGTTCCTGTTTGGAAAACAGAACGGTTCTGGTCCAGTTAGTGGAGTGTTCGCTCCTTTTCTAGCTAGATCATTTGCTTTCTCATTGCCTAACCCAGAGTAGGAGGACTTTATTTTCTTTGCCTAATTTGTTGCGGTTCTCTAGGCTTTCTTTGACCAACTTCGGTTACTGAGTTGATCGCGTTTAGTGCTGCTTGACTATTGGATGGAATGGCAATTTTTCCTGTTTTCGATAATTTCTATCTAAGATAAATTGTACGCATCTTTCGATAGCGTAAATTTCTGCCTGAAGGATACTGGGGTAGGTGCCCATTGGTTCGGAGTATTTAGTTTTTGGCCCAAATACTCCTATCCCTGTCCCTGCTTTGGTTTTGGAAGCATCGGTACACCACGTTACTGTATGTTCTTTTACATGTTGAGTAAACGTTTCTTTGGATGAACTTAATAAAAACTAAAATACAACTGAATATATAGTGATTGCATCTAGAATAAAAAAAGTTACATATATGTTACAAAATAAAACAAAGTGTTAATTAATAATTTGTTTCTTTCATTTATCCAGTAAAAGAACTAATAAAAACTGTTTATTCGTTTCCAGGTGGCTGTGGTCCACCCACCTTATTAGAGTATAACTATAATTAAAATTAAATGTGCATAATTGTAGGTAGATATTCGTGGTAAAATAAGATTATCTATTGTTACAGGTAAACGGCGGATCACCAGCAGAACGCGCTGGACTAATAGCAGGAGACTCAGTAATTAAGATAAATAATGTAGATGTATATAATTTATTGCACAAAGAAGCACAAGATGTCATTGTAAGGTCGGGATTAAATTTCGATATGGTCATTCAAAGGTAAGGTAAATTTCATTTTTATTTAATTTGTCTTAAATAAAAAACCGTTTACTAACGTAATACAAATTAATGTAGGCTAATATCAAAATTTTTCACAACCCATTTTTGCAATTTTTCGAACATTTCGCTCTTTCATGAAAAAAGCTTAGTTTTATCTGAATCTAGCTGACCTGGATAACTTTGTACCTCATAAAAATGAAGCATAGATAAAAGAAACAAGTTTAGATTGGAAAGTGCCCATAAGCACAGTGTAAATTCTATTTGGCGCTATTCTTGCAACGGTCGCACTCCAAAGCTCTTGATAATTTCGGAGCGGTTGAGCTTTTTCCGGAATTATGTAGCCAAATATTAATAATAAAATGCGATGTGTTATATATAAGAAACTTTATTTTATATAAGGGCATGTATGAAATACCTACGAAACATTGGAAACCGACCTTATGCCACGATCCACGATGGTTTTTGCAGTTCACAGTTCACACAGCTTTTTAAGTTTATAATATTACTTTTTCACAATTATCACGGGTTTGAGTAAATAAAATGTAAATTAAACTAACAAGATAGCAATAATTACTTTGAAAATGCTTTAAACACTTTTCGGTATACTTTCAATCAGGGTTGGAAAAAATCATGATTTTTAAAAAAAAAAGAAAAATCAGATTTTTTTGATTTAAATAGGATTTTTTTGATTTAAATAAGATTTTTTTGATTTTAATCTAAAACAATATTTAAATCGGATTTCCAAATGACTAGGACTTATTTCCAATTATAGTCCTATCCTAAATGGCTAAATATTAAAAACTCTGAGCGATACCGATAAGATTAACAATTCTACGGGGCCGTGTCATTTTTCCACATCGGTCACCAATATATTCCGCAAAAAAGTCGCTCGCTTCAGATCAAAAGGATTTTTTTTCAAACGTCTCAAAAGTATTAATTTTTGCATTTTAACGGCTATAGGCATAAAAGTAAAGCACTGTTACGCCTAAGCACAAAAGTACAAAAATATATTATTAAACTGATATTAGGTGTCAAATTCAACGAGTGTACAAGTCGTTTCTCGATTACTGGTTGTATTATTTGCAATGTTTGAAATTGATTAAAAAATCATTTGTAATGTTTTAAAAAAATAGTGTTTTATTCGGAGTAAAAATGAACTTTTTGTGCCTCCTTGTAACGTCGGAATAGCTTTACGATGGTCCTTCAAATGTACAGCATCGTCAAAAAAATATAATTTCTACTCTTAATAAAACAATACACTATTGCTCGGAAATAGTCTTAAGTCGAGAATGAAATTAGTATTATCTAATGTCAAAGTGTAAAGTACTTACTGCAAATCAAAATGTCGGTAAGAATTTGGAAACATATAAAAGTTTCAAAAAAATATATATATAAAACAACATATTTTCTGACAACGTTTATAGATTTTCGGGAATAAAGATATAGGTAGTGTATATCAGAAGAACCTAGTTCTGCACTAGTCGGCGAATGTGTATTCGAAAAGCGAATTTTTGTCACTTATAAATAAATTTTAAAGTAAATTTCTGCGTTTAGCGGTCTTACGGATTCACACAAAATTATTTCAAAAATCGGTTCAACATTTAAATTGGTGAATAGAAATTTTTATATAGTTTTATAAAATTTACAATTATTTTTCGATTTATTATCTGTTATAGAAATATTTCTTATAGTTTTCAAGGATAGATTTTTATAACTTTTACAGTTATTTTTTGATTTATTATAAAGTTTCAATAAAATTATTTTTTTGATTTAAATCACATGATTAAAATTAAAAAAATCACTTGATTTAAATCACGATTTAAATCATGATTTAAATCATTTGATTTAAATCATGCCAACCCTGCTTTCAATGAGAGCGGTTTAAATTTTGAACAAAATTTTGAACGATTTTATAATTTTTGAAGATTCTGATTTTGACAAGAGAAAATGATTTCAGTTCTCGTTTGCGGTTGTTTGGCTCAAAATTGGCTTACCCCTATAACTTATTTTTCAGATAAAAAAACGAGAGTGTGTTAGTATAATACTCGGTATAATATGACATAAATCACTTCCTAAAAGTCACTTCCTGTTTAATTGAAAATTACTACAACTTTTGATTTTTAAATGGCATCCTCGGTATATTTTTACTTTATTGGATAGAAAATGACACTCTGGATAAAATAACATATGTCAACTTTTGACATTTTAGCTTAAAAAATCGTATTTTGAATTTCAATCTAGTGTCATGGCTGTATTAAAAACACTATTAAGGTGCCTTGGGAAAATAGATTTGATCGTCTAATGTTTTTCGTGTCTTGGCTGGTAAAAAGATGCTCAAATCGTATTTTTAATCATATATCAATTTTTTCAAACTGAACAAGGGTGGTTCAAAAGCATATTTGGAAAAAGCATGTTTTACGAATAATTTGGTACCACACAATTGATATTTCGAGTCAAATTGTTGTTATGTCGTTATATTGTTTCAAATAAACCATATGCTAAAATATTAAAAGTTGTCATATGTCATTCTATTCAGAGTGTTATTTTCTATCGAATAAAGTAAAAAAATATCAAGTGGGCTATTTAAAAATCAAAAGTTGTTGTAATTTCCGGTGAAACAGAAAGTGACCGAAAACAATTGAATACGTCAATCAATCCTAATCTATGCCTATGAATATACTATCATACCAAATCCCGTTTTTTATCTGAAAAGAATTAAAAAAATATAGGGGTGAGCCACCTTTGAGCACCCGGTATGTATAATATTTTAAAAAATGACATTTAATTTTTAATTTTCTAGAAAAAATAGTCATTTAAAAATCAATTTATTACCACGCATAAACATTTTTATGTTTTGTTTTGTTTCAAAAATAAATGATATATAAATTTCATCAAACGTGAGTCACTAAGCAGCTGCATATTACATCTGAAAAAACAATACTCAGTACAGAATATATTTAGCAACTTTTATTGTTCATTTTCAGCCTAATAAAATGCTTATACAATGCGTACTATAATTGTAACGGAACAATAAACTTTGACACAGTTGGAGGCAAAAATTCGGATGTTATCAATCATACACTCTTTTATTTAAAGATAGATTATTAATTCTAATATTGAGTTTTGGAGATATTATTATTTTGGAGTTACAACTGATAACATTTTTAATAAAGGTATAACGGTAATTCCCTCTGATATAACATATTAATAGAATATCGTAAATACATAACTATTCCTCATAATTCATATATACATGGTGGCGCACCTCATTCGCCTCGGTTGATTATACGAAAACGGAAACATCTAGAAACAAAATATTGTATGGGTATATGTGGGGAGACAATGTACACAATTTAAAATTATTTTGAAATATACAGGGTGTGTCAGAACTAAGATTCATACCAAAGTTATATTTTTTCTTATGGAACACCCGGTATTTTATTTCATTTTTGAATTCTTGGGTCCAAAAAATGGCATTCATTATAAGAGTTAAATATGTCTAAAATCTTTGGTTTTTGAGATATTTAAATTTGCATGCTACAATAGAATAGATTATTAACACCTTTTACATTACTTTTCAGAGTTAATTCTTATGCTGAGTTTAAAGATAGAGAAATAAACTTTACTGAAAAATGGTATTGCTTCCTTAAATTTATACAGGGCTATCAAAAGTTGCTGATCAATTTTAAGGATGTATTTTATATAAAAACTTCGTTATTTCAAATGCAACATCCTATATTTTTTTAAATAAATCGAAGCAGGTTCAAATGCTCTTTCAAACTATAATAGGGTCTCCTATACCTATCTAGCTCAGCTTTTGAATAAAAAGCGATTTTTCAATAAAATTGCAATCAAGATGGCTGGTGTCGCCATGGCAATTTTTTAGTGACAGTTAGTAACTATTTTCAAAGTCGACATTACTTTATGGACATTATTATTTATAATTTATAACAGTTTACTTAAATTAACCTACAATAGTTTAATAAGTAAGTATTCATTATTTTATCAAGAAAAATAAAGCCAGATACTGCTTTACGATACTGCTGGCGGAACGAATAAATATGTTACTAGTGATTTTATTTTTTGAGGAAAATTGCTTCTTGGCCTCAAGGGCTTATGCTCAAAATATCCAAATAGCAATCGTCCTGATAAGCGTTCCTTCGAAAAAGAACTTGTCCTATTTCGCAGAGCTGGTATTGTGGTTTATAAAAAACCTATTAGGCGGAAACCTGTCATTGGAAGTGAAGAAAATGAATTTGCCGTAATTAGTTCTTTTATAGAAAATCCAATATATCTACAAATCATTGTAATATAAATAAAAAAAAATTCTTTAAATTTCTTGATGTTATAATAAATACTTACTTATTAAACTATTGTAGGTAAATTAAATAAGGATAAACTGTTATAAATTTAAATAAAGGCCATAAACTAATGTCAATTTTGAAAATAGCTACTATAGCAAATTGCCATCTTGATTGCGAATTTATTGAAAAATCGCTTTTTATTCAAAATCTGAGCCAGATAGGTATAGGAAACCCTATTATAGTTTGAAAGAGCATTTAAATCTGCTTCGATTTATTTAAAAAAAATACAGGGTGTTGTATTTAAAATAACGAAGTTTTTATGTAAAATTAATTCATAAAATAGATCAGCAATTTTTGATACCCCTGTATAAACTTAAGAAAGCAATAACATTTTTCTATTAAGTTTATTTCTCTGCCTTTTAACTCAGCACATGAATTACTTCTGAAAAGCATTTTACAGGGTGTTAATAATCTATTCTATTGTAGCATGCAAATTTAAATATTTTTAAATATCTCAAAAACTAAAGATTTTAAACATATTTAACCCTTATAATAAATGCCTTTTTTGGGCCCACAAATCCAAAAATGAAATAAAATACCGGGTGTTCCATAAGAAAAAATATAACTTTCGTATGGGTCTTAGTTCTGACAAACCCTGTATATTTCAAAATAATTTTAAATTGTGTACATTGTCTCCCCACATATACTCATAAAATATTTTATTTCTACATCTTTCCGTTTTCGTATAATCAACCGAGGCGAATGAGGTGCGCCACCCTGTATAGGGTGAATTGTTCAAAAGGCTGCAAAAAATGTTTCTATAACCTTTTGAAGAAGATCGTGAACTTTACCGATAAACATAGCAGAGCTCGACCTAAAATTTTGTTTCTGTGCCTACTCTTAGGTCGTTTTAATTTGATGACATACTAATATTTAATGTCTATACATTTGTGGCGAGTTATTTTCGTAAAAAAAAAATGGATCCAGATACTAATGTCTTTTAGAAAATGAGACTTTTTTGAAGTTACACTTTAAAATTATATATTTTAACTGATTTGGTCATTTTAGAAGTGTGGTCTGGATTTTAACGTGCAAAACAGTGATGTAGGCAGCTTAATGGAAAATCAAATGTATTAAAAAGAGATAAAAGTTGGGTTGGTACATTTCTTCTATGCGATATTGCCGGATTTTGCATTAAGAGTTCAAACCGCACAAGTAAGCGTTTATGGAAAATGTTACAACTAGGGTTGGAACCTTATTTTTCACAATTAGTTACTCATTTTACTCTACAGATGTAAGCAAAGTAAAATTACACTAAATCACCACAATACACCAAAACAATTTTACTTTTACACTGGACGCGCGTTTCGCTAACCATGTTAGCATCATCAGCAGATGATTATAAACTTAAACTAAACAGTTTATAATCATCTGCTGATGATGCTAACATGGTTCGCGAAACGCGCGTCCAGTGTAAAAGGAAAATTGTTTTGGTGTATTGTGGTGATTTAGTGTAATTTTATTTTGCTGTGTAACACCAAAGGTTCCAACCCTCAACTGTAATAACAGATGTAATATATTATATTTAGCGTAGATATACCGTATGATCGAGAAAAAACGGCGTCAGCGATGGCTATGAAATGAAGATCGCTGTCAATTTATATGTAAATTTATATGGGAAATGTCATCGATCGTCATTTCCCAGCCAACTGGACGCCGTTTTTTTCTCGATCATACGGTATTATATTCATTTCAGTAGTATACATGGAAGTTTTTAAAATAGTTTATTTTTTTTCTATAAAAATTTTCCTACAAACGTAAAAAACCGGCAACACTGTATGCCGCTTTTAATTTTGTCTCTCGGTCTGCCAACCGGTCATTTCTATACTCTGTCTTACACGTTAAACTACCCTCAACTACTAACATACTAATCCAGACCACGCTTCTAAAATGATATCATCGGTATATTTCAAAGATGTTATTCGTATTTTAATACTGTTATCCTATCCTTCATTTTTTGTGAAAGACCTAGTATGAAAGTTTTTTCTAGTAGCGAAAAACCCAGACTTTTCTCAAAAAATACAACATTATGTACATTTAATTTTTTTATATTTTATCTTATATACTCTTTTTTGTTTTCTGCACTTCACCACAGGAGGAGATAAGTATACCTCCTGGAACGTTAAGAATTTGTTTGTTGATCAGGCAAATTTTTATCACTAGAAAAAATCCACCAACTGAGCTAGTTGCTATTTGGTTTCTATGCAGTGGAAATTTACAAAATAATGCTTTTTTATTTTTCATGGTTTTTTTATCAGAATTTTTTGAAGACATAGCTAATTTAAGCCTGGACCCCATTAGGTCATACGCCACGCCACGCTACGCCACGCTACGCCACGCCATGCCACCACACGTCATGAAGATCTGTGCGTATGTTTTTCCGTTTAATTACATGTGTTGCGTACACACTACATACTAGCGCTCACGACATTCCACGCGTGTGATGGGCCATTCTTCTGTCCCAGAGCTCTTGTGTACACTCTTTCCCACGTCGCAACACGTTGGCTCACGTGGGATAGCGTGACGTGGCGCGACCTGTGGCCTAATGGGGTCCTGGCTCTCTATTTATAAACGATATCCATGATCGCGATTGGGTTCTAGGCCTAACGATACCGCATACGATATCGCAAATCCGTCTGGTAAATAGCATCTGTGATTCCAAATTTTCACTGCCTTAACACCTCTTATAAACACCAGACGATACCGCGAAATGTATTAATGGGCCTCGTAATCAGCATTCAGGATCGCAAATTTTGTTCGTCAACACAAATTAAACGAGCTAAAAATAAAAAAAAAGTTTTTTTTTCAAGCGGCCACCCCTTCCAATAACAATCACGCATATTGCGGCTTAATTTTGGTGATCGTACGAAAAAATACACGCGCTGTTGATTCATAAAAATTTAGATTATTATAGAGGACTATAAAGTAAAACCTAAAATCGCGTCGCGAAATCAACAGAAAATAGATTCCCAGATGACATTATTTTATATTCATCCAACTTACATACGTATGCAAATTACTTAAAATAAAATAGAGATATAATATATTTTCCATAGAAACTCAATATAAATTTCTAATACCTAACTTTTATTAAAAAAAAATGTGTCCTTAACTATAAAAAGACATATTCAAGAAGGAACTAAGTTACAATCTTCTTGTACTAGAAAAAGTCAAATTTTACCTGCAAAGAAACTACACAAAGTGTAGTTTTTATTTTAAATTTACGAAGTAAAGCTGGCCATTCTTTAAGAATTGGGTAAAATGTCCTGGAAATTTAAAACAATCTGTAACTTTACTCATTTCAGCCATCTTTTGGTTTGGATTTAAAATCTGTTTTTTTTTAATTAATTTGTTTTGAGTTATTATTACTCTTGTTAATTTCTGTAACTTATCTCAATATCTTCCTTTTTAACCAAACGTGTTCTAATAATTTCTTTATCTATTAACTTATATACTCGTGGTTTGGGGGCAAATTAATTTTATTTGCAAAATATTATTTAGTATGTACTATATTCTTTGGCAGACATCTTGCACTTGCGAATTTTGCGATCTGGAATACTGATTACGAGCAACCAAACAACAAATTTCGCCGTATCATCTGCTGTATATAAGAGGAGTTAAGACAGTTAAAATTTGGAATCACGGATGCTATTTACTAGACGGATTTGCGATATCGATGCTGTTTACGCGGCATCGTTCGACCTAGAACCGAATCGCGATCATGGACGTTGTTTACAAATAATAATAGTCCCGGCTTTATTTTGATGTGCCTTGTACCTTATAAAATTCTTAAATTTACAAAATGCCTTAAGACATCAATTCTGCAGGTTTACCTTTGAATATTATTATCGTACATGCCTCATTCAAAACTGACCATATAGCCGCCAATATTGTTAGATCGCACAACATCCGCTACTAATAATCCTTCCAAATATCACGTCCTTGATCTTCATTTGTTGACCGATTGCCCAATCCCCAACGCGACTAAATAACAAATAATACTTATTTCGGGACTTGGTCGCGTTTCAGAGGTGGTTCGACGTGGAAGCCTGCGGTCATCCCGACCGGACAAGTACCTAAACCGAATCCAGCAGTATCCAAACTCAGTCCTGTCACGAAGACATCGCTAGCGGCGCAACCCGGTGAGAACATCGGGGCTATCGGAACTGGACACAACTTGTCGGCCAAGCCTTTTGCTCCTCAGGTGAGTACTGAGCAACATTAACGTCATCATCATCCGTTCACTGCACAATTTGATTAACTCTATTTTATGAAAAATCTTAAATTTAAGTGTGAATTAATTATTTTAACATTTTTTTCCAAACATCAGAAGTTACCATTGCTCTAACGTTTTGAAAAATGTAGGTAAGTTACACTTAAATTCAAGATTTTTCAAAAGTGTGTGGAGTTACCTAATCGAATTGTGCAGCAAACGGCTCAATTATAACCCAGTGAACATCACTTTAAGTAGTAACTGCTATTTTTTATAAGGGACTTATAGATGTTGTGAATTTATATTAGAGGTTTATACCGGGTGCGTCTCGAAAGCGGCTCATCCCTATATTTTTTTTTAAATTTTTCAGATAGAAAAACGAGATTTGGTATGTTAGTATAGGACATAAATTAGGATTGATTGACTTATTCAATTGTTTTTGGAAACTTCCTGTTTCACCGGAAATAACTACAACTTTTGATTTTTAAATGGCACCTTCGGTATTTTTTTACTTTATTCGATAGAAAATGACACTCTAAATATAACATATCATATATCAACTTTTGGCTTTTTCAATCTAGAGTGTCATGGCTGTATTAAAAACACTAATTTTTAATCAACGAGCCTTGGAAAAACAGATTTTATCGTCTAATGTTTTTCATGTCTTGTCCTGGCCGGTTAAAAGATGCCCAAATCGTATTTTTAATCATTTCTCAATTTTTTCAAATAGAACAAGAGTGGTTGATTAGCATATTTAGGAAAATCATTTTTTTGCAAATAATTTGGCCTAATTTTTTTATCTATTATCAGAAACTATTATAAAATTTGAAGCTCTTACATGAATAAGTTGGATAGGTGACATGCGTGACTTATTAATTATTGACTTAAAATAACAGGAAGTTCATTTCTAAGAGGTAAGAACTTATGCATAAACATTTCAATTACATGAACGCAAAATGATTAGATCATTTTAAAAAGGATTTAAATGAACAACTCAGAGAGAATTTTCAATAGAAACCATTCATTTGAAATAATGCGACGTAATATTTATAAATTAATTTTATTACGGTGATAATGAATACATGTAAATCTGTAGATATTTGTATGAAATACTAATAAAATTCGCATGTTTACAATATACACGAAAATAAATATATTTTTAACATTTTTCAATATTCCATACTTAGTGATTTTCATCTGTCTCTTCTACAAAACATTGCAAAATCTTAAAAGAAGAAAAGAGTTGTCGTCGTGGATGCTTACGTCACTGAGGGACCTCCTCTCGTTAGTCAAACGCAGAAATAACTGTCACTGTGTAAAATCTTTGGCGCGAAATTCAACTCGGTCCCTAGATGACGTCAAAAAAACTGACAGTTTAGGAAGTATAGGGATCGAACTATCCTTATCTCTATGGTATCCTTGGGCGCTAGTATCCTTATCCTGCTATCTAGTTGTAAACACAGGGTGGCTGGTTCAAATCCAGCTCTGGACATGGATGTTTAATGTGCGTGTGAGTCTATGTTTGTCCTAATTTTAAAACACTCAAAATATTGATTAGCATGGTGGATGTCGTAAAAGACTCATAGCCATTAAGAGGAAAAAAAAAACAAAAAATTGTATTGATGTACGAGATGTTCAAATCAAATAATTTAAGTAGATATTCCAGTTTAAAAATGATCTCTTCTTTGAAGTATTATAGTAGATTGACTTCTATTAACATTAGTTTCAAAGTGATCCAGGTGGACATCAGTGGTCCACGACACGAAGCAAATTTCCATCGTTAGATTTAATCTTTACAATTTTTGAGTATACTCGCGAAATACAATCTTACTACCTGAATATACGAGCGAATATAATACGCTACTTTTTTCAAACAGCACACACATTTTTTAAATAATTTCAGATATTGATAATATATAAAAAGTAATACCTTCTAAGTAATTATGTCCCATTAATGTCAATTTAATAAAATATTTTTCTACTTTTTTGCTTAGGTGTAAAAGTGCCTGCAATGATTTTCCTAAAATGATATTCTTAAAATTCCAGTTCAATTACTGGATTATTATTGGAAAAAAGAAGTAGTAAGTGTAAGTGGTAACTTCTAGAAGAATTCTAGAACAGCACAGACTTTTTCTCTGGTACCGCGTGTATCAGTTGAACGCAATCGATTGGAAAACCCATCCGCACCGAATTCCGACGTGTGAGACGCAATAATTTCAGCTCAAATCAGAATTAACGATCGCAATTAATCAGCAACTTGAACCTGATCCCCTTTAAATGTGGGTCAAACGATAGGTGAACAGACGAATCGATTAGGCTGGGGATATGGTGACAAGATCGTTAATAACAATTAATCGAAATGAAAAGCGCATTGCAAGGTCGAAATAATTGATGGCAAGTAATTTAATTTATTGCGTCTTCTTATCTGTAGTTATCGTACAGTGTGTTTAATTTTAATTAACTATTATACTATTCATATTGCTATTAAATAATCGAGTAAGCATTAGCTGAGTGGTACTCTTATATTTGTTGTAAATAAATAGAATAAAGCACTAAAACCATCATCAATTATAAAAGTGGTAATGATTACAGTGATGATTGTTCAGAAGATTCTGCTGGAGATTATAAGATCTGTACCTAATATAACAGTAAACTCCTATAAGTATATATTAAGTACATTTGTAACAAAGCCACAAATGCTCCCATGATATGAAGAAGACCCGCGGGAAATAGATGGGGCTACACCTCTAACATTTTACCCTGAATGTATACAATGATGGTAAGACCCATGCTGACTTATGGAACAGTTACTTTCACAAAAATAAAGCAACGTACAGCAAGGCAAAACGTGTATAGACCAGCATGCATCTGCGTCACAGGAGCTACGAGAACCATACCCAATATAAGCAAATGGAGGTCATTCTAGACCTAACACATTGTCATTGGTCATTGGTAGATATGCCAATGCGACAATGTTAGAATGCTCATTGATGGAAACAATACTGGAAGAATTGTCAGTTCAGGAGCTTGGAACACACTCAAAAAAAACCTTCCACTCGTCCAACTCCCAGTGGATTACATATTGAATGAGGAACTTTGAGAAACACTTTGCTGTGTAGAAACGTTTCCTCAGCAGTTAGAAGACCATACAATTCTGTGGTATGCCGATACTTTCAAAACCACAGCAGGAACATAAGTAGGATTATCTGAGCTGAAAACTAAATACTCCGAATCAATAGGATATAAGGACCGTCGGAAACAAGAAATAGTCGTCTTATCCGATGGTCAAGCAGCCTTAAAGCTGAGGCCGCAGTGCAAGCAAGTTACCTGGAGGGTAGTGGGTATCGAGCGACCCTCCAAGTAACCCGCGAGGTACGTTTCCATGAAATGCGATTTTAACCAAACCAGCCGCAGTGCAATCCACCACCAACTTAAGCCACAAAGCAACTCGCCAAGCGAGCCACTTGAGGATCAGTCGTGTTCGATATCTTCAGCCAGGCGTAAAGTAGTTTTGGTCTAAAAATGGAAGAAAAATTGTAATGCACAAGCGTTGTTCTGCAGAAATTGCTTCTCTGAAGTTTATAGACATCCTTTCTAATTTGTCTTGAATTTTATTAAGAAAATCAAACGATTTTACACTCATACGTGCATAATTAAAAAATTTGTCAGGGTAATTTCGCATTTTCTTTGTAAACTCGCAAAAATTCTCCATCATGGTCTCTATGCAAGTTATACTCATGCACACACATCTTCTTATTTTCCATATTTACAAAGTTCACATAAGAATTGTCACAGAGCAGAAGCCTTCTGGCAAATTTTGAAAGGGGCATAAGACACTTACGGGAGCTACAATTTGCAACTGAACTTGATTAGATTGGTTATTGTTTTAATAATTTTCCGTCCACTACTGCGTACAAGGTATATTTACCCTCTACCCATTAACCTTCACCCCGTACCCGACAAGCTTCCCTCCACCCGTCTATAGTGCAGGCTTGGCTTAAGAGCGATCAACTCAATAATCATCGATTCTAAGTTGGTCAAATAATATCTAGAGACTCTGAACAACTCACGCAAAGAAAATAAGGTCTTCCTACTCTGCATGCCAGCCCACTAAGAGATAGAAGGCAATGAAAAAGCAATCGATCTAGCTAGAGAAGGAGCGAACACTCCCACTAACTGGACCAGAGCAGTTCTGCTTCCCAAATATCCAACTCCAACGATCTAAGACACAAGAAGAAATGTTTCAGGACAACCGAGAAAACTCAAAAAGTCTCCTTGATTGAAGTCAGAAAAATCTTCGGATTATCACGGTGTTTTTAACAGGACAGTCTTCTCAATGGATATTTCAGTAGATTGAGGCTAAAAAACAAAGGCAAATGCAGATTTTGTGTGGAAAATCGGGAAACACCAGAACACCTCATCACTGGGTCCGCCGCCGCCGAGACGACATTCATTTGTGAAATAAACATTGGTACGAATGATATGGCAGATGGAAAATTAACCTCTGTAAAATCGTGTGAGATACCGGCTTTTGTCAAAGCCCTGAGACTTTATGATTACTTATAACTCAAGAAAGGGGGACACAATGTAGAATATAGAATGTAGAATGTTTAAGAGGGGAGTTAATCACCGCGACCTAGCGATCTATTGTGTGTTCCCCTTTCTTGAGTGAGAACGAGTTATAACTCATCAGTCTCAGGACTTTAACGAAAGCCAGAATCTGAGACGGCTCCATAGAGGTCAGCTCTCCATCTTTGACATCAGCCATACCAAAGTTCATGGCACGAATGGTCATCGTCTCGGTGCACTCTGTGATAAGGTGTTCTGGCGTTTCCCCATTTTCCCCACAGAATCTGCATTCGCCGGTGTTCCTCAACTTCAGCCTACTGAGGTGTTCGTTGAGGTGACAGTGCCCTGTTAGAAACCTCGTAACAATCCGAAGACAATCCTTAAATCAAGGAATATCTTTGATTTTTCTCGGTCGTAAGTTCTGAGGAACTTTTTCCAGTGTCTTAGACCATTGGAAGATTCTCATTTCAGGTTACGGATGGAGACTTCCAGGTTCCTCAGTTCCGCCTTTATTTGTTTTCCATTTGGAAAACAGAACGGTTAGTGGAAAACAGAACGGTTAGTTCAGTTAGTGGAGTGTTCGCTCCTTTTCTAGCTAGATTATTTGCTCTTTCTTTGCCTAATTTGTTCAGCTTCTCTAGGCATTCTTTGTCTAACTTTGAATTGATGGTTACTGAGTTGATCGCGTTTAGTGCTACTTGACTATCGGATAAAATCGCTATTTCCTGTTTTCAATAGTTCCTGTCTAAAATAACTTGTACGCATCTTTCGATAGCGTAGCTGGGGTAGGTGGCCAGTGATTCGGAGTATTTAGTTTTCGGCCTAAATACTCGTTTCCCTCTAATCCTCTAATCCCAGTCCCTGCTTTGGTTTTGGATTAGTATACCACGTTATGGTATGGTCTTTTACATGCTGAGCAAACGTTTCTCCCTTCCAATCCTTTTTATTGTTGCGGACCCGTGTGGACTCGACCTAACTTAACTTTATGTCCCGCCCTCAGATGACCTTCACATCGCATTAAAGAATAGATACCGTAATGATTCATTCGGACGTTCGAGAAAAATCGAGTTCCACTGGAATGGAGTAGTGCATACGAGAACAATCAAAACCTTTTCTATGCACCTAACGATCTATGGACTATTCTAGAAATCTTTAGCTGTAGGTATAAAAGCCGGCGGCTGTGGCCTAAAGAGGGCAGTTATAAATAGACGAGTACAGCTGACGCGCTAAAATTCAAAAAATAAATTCTTAGTTATAAATCGTTTGTAAATAGTTCTTTAAGTCTTTTATCGTTATTGTTTTTGTTAATTAGTGTTAAATAAATAGTGTTTAAATAAATTGTGACTTTCTATCCACACGGAACCGACGAAAAACGTAACATTATTACTCAATACTACAGTGAGATGTTTCTCAAAGTTGTAGATTCTTGGTATGTCATCCACTGGGAGTTAAGGGGGACACAATATAGATATATAAGGTCGCGGTGATTAACTTCCCCCCTCTCATACAATCTACAATATGCATTTGTATCTATCTTATTTTTTACTATTTTAGGTGACTGTCAAGAATTCAGGAACCAAAGATATAATAAAATATATTTTGTGGCCAATTATCGTCATTTCTAGACAAAAGCTGTTAAATTTAGTCGGCTGTTCTAAAAATTCTACTTCTTCCATTTAAATTATAATAAATAAGAAATAATTTACGATGTTAGAAACAATGGGCAAGGTCGAATAACTTGTGGGAAATGATTTAATTTATTGTGTTTTAATATCTGATGTGTTAAATTGGCGTCATAGTGAAATTAATTTGTAATGGAGTTAGCATTAGATTTGTAGAGAGTACTAATTGTAAATAGAAATAATTGCCTATAAACAATTCAAAATAATAACTTGTAAATTTCTATTAAAAGTGGCGGATAAGCCTGATATACGTTTTCTCATGCGATATATCCTGTATATCGCGAATGTGTTTCTGTGTTTCGAATGGTATTTAGGACACTTTGGCAACATATTCTGCAGATAAAAATAATTAAAAAAAGGTCGTATAAATGTATGTCCTAAAATTCTTAGTTTCGGAGACACAAGGTGTAAAAGTTTCATTTTTATTTGGATTTTTTCCAAAGAATTTCTCGACTAATGCCGATATTTGGATTAAAATTGATGTTTGGATGTTTTTTTGATATGAGACATTTGATTTTGATGTCATTAATATGACTCTTATTTTTAGGGGTCGCCACCTACATGATTTGTAACTGTTCGGAAGTGTAATAATTTTTCATCCGTACTTGTACAGTATGATCGAAAAAAAAACGGCGTCAGCGATGGCTATGAAATGAGGATCGCTGTCATTTTCTATGTAAATTTATATGGGGAATGTCAACGATCGTCATTTGCAAGCCTGGACGGCGGCCTCTGGACGGCGTTTTTTTCGATCATACGGTATTAATCTACTTAATGATTTTATTTTTAGATTGTAAATACCTATCTTCAGAACCATTAATCCGCGACCCCATTAGGCTGCACGCCACGCGACGCCACGCTATCCCACGTGGGCCCACGTGAGCCCACGTGTTGCGACGTGAAAAAGATTGTACACATGAGATCTGGGACAGAAGGCACACGTGTGATAGTGTGGGATGACGTGGGGTGGCGTGTTGCCTAGTGTGTACGCAATACATGTAATTAAATGGAAAGACATACGCACATATCTTCATGACGTGGGGTGGCATGGCGGGCGTGTTGGCTAATGGGGTCCAGGCATTACTCTTTACAGAGATACATTTTTTAATTTAAAAAATGCATATTTTCTAAATGCGAAAATGTATATTTTTCACTCAGTAGTGTAATTCTCCTATAAAGTCATATTAAAATCAAATTTCAGATGTCAAAAAAAAAACAGAAAAAAATTTTCATCCAAATATCGACGTTACTTCAGATATTATTTGGAAAAAATCGAAATAATAATGAAATTTTTACACCCTGTATCTCCGAAACGAAGCAGTTTAGAAAATAAATTTACACGAGCTTTTTTACTTACTTATTTTATCTGCAGAATATGCTGCCGAAGTTTTCCAAATACAATTCGGACCACCCTGTAGAGTAAGAGTTTTCTGAGGTTTAATTACGAACTCGAATCTTGAACTGGAAAAAATATCATGTGTAATGTTAAGATCTACCTACTCAAAAACAAAAGTTGCTGGAATATAAAGATAATATATATCTATTAATTCCCCAAGCCACTTAGAAACACCTAATATGTAAACAATTATGCAATTAGCAAATATAGATTAATAACAAATTTTAATTAATCACTATTTTATGTATACAACGAATATTTATTTGCCAAGATAAGTGTTGGGGTATACATTAATCTATCGTGTTTAATAAAATCAGCTGATAATTATTAATGTAAACAAGTTTTAATAAGCACTGATCCAGCGATTAAATATTTATTTGGCTGTTTTTATTTTTCTAGGTCAACGGTGCTGTTAATGGTAACTCCAACAAACTAATAAATAAACAATACAACACTCCAATAAAACTATATTCGGAAGACGCGATAGCAGAAACTCTTTCGGCTCAAACAGAAGTTTTATCAACAGGTGCATTAGGGTAAGTATGTTTAATGTATTGTAATTAAAATAGGTTCGTTCCAACACACAAATTTGTATCGTGCTAGAGCGGTAATTCTATCACTGGAATCGGATTTGTACGCATGTGAGGGGTTCAGAAGTGAACTGATCAAGTCCTAGAAGATAATTATGGAGAAAATGAGAGTTACAGTTTTTAAATGTTACTTAATTAAAATAAAACAAGCTAGAGAAGAAAACTCGACACTATGCTTTTTTATATTTTAAATTGTATAATTGCAAACTAAAGTAACTCAAAATACAACTGTAGTCATTTTTAAGAATGTTTGTTTATACTTTTTTGGACTTGAACCATTTTATCTCTGAAAATATTTAAAATTTTAGAAATAAATTGGTCCATCGGTACATTCTTCTTCGTCATTAAGGGATTTCCTGACTTCATATTGTCTATTAATAGTGTTTTCTTCGATTTTTATAAAAATTATGGTATATAGGCAGGAGGCAGAATAAAGGGAAGAAGATATTTCGTGTTAGGTTAGATTTGAAATTATAAGATTTTTCGTCATCGTGCAGTTTTATTCATATCAATATGTCAGATATCTAAGTATTTGTAAGAAATCAGCCTAACTTATTGATGTAGTAATAGTGAAAATAATGATAAATCAAACTATACTTTCAGAATCGTTAGAATCAAACCTTTCAGATGACTGATAATCGGATTCACTTGGTGCAAGTACTGCAAATGGTTGAGACATTGTTTCATTATTATCCCTTTTATAAAAAAAATAGCTATACACTTTAGCACGTGTGTTAAAATCGCGCACAGCGTTAAATTTTATGGACTCGATCCAGTTCAGTTCTGAAAGGAATCAACAGAATATTCAGAAAATAAACAGAAACAGGCTATAGCTGCTTAATGCGTGAAGTATGACTTGATTCATTTCTCTACTAGAAAAAACAATATTTTATAAAAATATAAAAGGACGATTATCTTGAAATAATAGGAAATTGGATTTGATCCATTTTAATTCTGACCACTCCATGTATGTGTCGACTTAGACAGTTCGTCTACCAAAGTACTCTGATACTAAAATTAAATACGGGTTGGAACAGTTCGTGCACTGATTCTAGGTTCTCCTATTTTTTCTTGAATTTTGTAAAAGTCAAATGTTAACTCTTTCAAGTACGGTGGATCACAGTTTGAACCACCAATTTTTAACGCGTTGAGGTACGGTGAGGCAAATAATAAACCACCTAGATTTAAATTTCTGGCGCTAAGCTACGTCGGTTTATTTATTGTACCGCCGAGGAAACGCATGTATTAGGATGCCGGCCTTGCAATTTCCCCCTTCACGCAACGATATTAGCGTGTGTCGTTTGAATTGAGTGCAAAATGATGGCCGAATATTTACTGCACGTTTATGTTAATTTGAGGCGCTTGGTAAATGTGTTTTTTGGCTAATTTTTTGTGCTTACAATTGTGGAAAGTGGTTTACGTAAAGTATAAAAGGTAATTAATACTTTATTTAATTGAATATTAGTTTGATTATGCGCATTGTGTCTTTGTTAGTGCAGTGTTCAAAAATTGAACCACCATACTTCTAAGGCAATGAACAGCGATCGCAAATACCGATATGATTATCTTATTTCACTGGATCCAAATGCTCTATATGACATCCTAGATGTCATTGACGAACAAAATGTAGCAATACCGTCAGATTCAGGTTCAGAAAATGACAGTACCGATGAAATTGATCAAGATGCAGATGCTTCCTCTAGTTTAGTTCGTGATAATGAAGAACCTGAACCTGAATACGTGCTTTCCGCCTCGGACGATTCAGATTCCGAGTGGGATGCAGAAGATTTGGTACCTTTAGCTCGGTTAGCAGCAGAAATGAAAACGCAAAAACAGATTTCATGGGACAAGAATTTGGCTAATATTCATGCACCAATTCCATTTAGTGAAAATACCGGACTGCCTCAGTTTATCAAAGAAATTCCGAACCCTAGCCCACTAGATATTTTTAGACTATTTATTACCGATGACATTATCAATCATATAGTTTTCCAAACTAATTTATATGCCGAACAAAAATTTTCCAACATGGGCAAACCATACAAAAAAACTAACCCAGACGAAATAAAGGCATTTTTGGGAATCAACCTCCTAATGGGAATAAAACGATATCCAAGCTACAGAGATTACTGGAGCACAGCGCCTGATTAAGCATTTGTCATTGCCTACGGAATTATCTTTACCTTTGAAAAAACACAAACCATCCGTTTCAAAATCAATAAGATTGACATCAAGTGCTCATCGACCAATGCGTACTACTCGCAGGAGATGCACTGTCTATAGTACCAAAAATAATGATGTCAGGACCAACTGGCAATGCAGTGTTTGCAACGTACCTCTTTGTTTGGGGGCTTCAAAAACTTGTTTTCAGTATTACCATAATTAGTATTTTTTAATGTTCAGGTACTGTGGTGTACATATTAAACCACCATATTTTGTTTATAACAATAGATCTAATTGTTTGAAATTTATCTCTGTGTTTGTTTTTACTCATCTTTTGTTAGAAAAATGTACAAAATATTGATTTTTGGAATACATTTTTTCTTCGTACTGCTAGTTTTTTTTTTATGGCAATTTTTCGTACCTGAAAGAGTTAAAGCAATTAGCAAAACATAGAATGTAGATGGGGCTCGAAGATTCATGATATTTTGACGACGCGCGACGTTTCGTGCACTACAAAACCCCATCGTCAATGAATCAAATCAAAAAATCGTCCAATTTAAATTAAATTTGGTATGTCGATACACTGGACTAAAGCCAACTTGACCGTGTATGACACGTGTCACTGTGGCAGTTAGTTTTGACGTAAAGAACGTCAAAAGTTAATGCCATCCGATCGCGACCAAATTTGGTGGGTAGGACGACGCCGACGGTGCACACGGTTCCACCCTGCACTGTAAAGTTGGATACGACGCTGACGTTTCGTTTACATCTTTGTCACGGGGGGACTAACGATTTGATATTGAAGAAAAATGTGGATCGATTTCGGCATAATTGGGGACGGGCTACAGGATAACGCTCTCGACGTTTCGAACCGATGCCTCTAAATGGACGAAATCGTCCGCTTTTTCTTAATTATGGGTCGATTGGAACCAAACTCGGCACGTGGATAGAGGTATCCGAATGGAGTCCTCAGAAGGACAGTCTCATAGTGCACACATTTTTTTTATAATTTATCTAGCAAAAAAATAATATATAACATAATAATGTCTTCAAACTCTTATTTTAATATTTCTAATTTTTTCTTGTGGAATGCATTCTAAGAATGGGATGACTCGGCTAGATGTAATATGTTTTTTTTTACTTTTACTTAATTGCTTTTTGAACTAAATAATATTACCAACAAGCTTGTAATTAGCTGTTTATTATCAAAACTATAACATAAATCGATCTTTAACATTTTGGTTTCATAACTGACAATAATTTTATTGTTAACAATATAGACTGAAAAACACCGCAATAAAATCCAGCTTTACGACTGTGTTTTTGGATGCATAAAATAAACATTACAATTCACAGACAGATTAAACATGAATAATTGGACATGTCTTATGCAACAACTGCCGAAATAGTTATTTATGCACAATCAGCTTAAGTAGGACAATAATTCCCTGAAGGCAAATATAATAAAGTCCTGCTACTCTGGGTGCCAGCGCATCAAGGGATAGAAGGTAATGTAAAAGCAAACTATCTAGTTAGAAAAGGAGCGAACACTCCACTAACTGAGCCAAAACCGTTCTGCTTCCCAAGTAGAAACCAACTTAAAGTGGAACTGAAGAACCTGGAAGACTCCATTCGTAAGCTGCAATGGAAATCCTTAGACGGTCACTCGAAGAAGGAATTTCGGTTAATTGCAGTTAAAGAAAAAACGGCGAATGCAGATTCTGTGTGGGAAATGGGACCAGAACACCGCATCACTGAGTGCCATTCGTGCCATGATACTTGGTACGACTGATATCGGAGATGGAGAACTAACCTCTGTAAAACCGTTTCAGATACTGGTTTTTGTCAAAGTCCTGAGACTGTATGATGAGTTATATCTCGGTATAACTCAAGAACGGGAGACACACAATATCGTGTGGTGCATTGGATCACGGGACATAGGAAATCACATGTAAATTTTGAGAGGATCAAATATTATCTCCTCAGATAATTTTATGCGAAAGTTGTATTAGACTTTTTTGAAGAGGCGTTAAAGTTGTACTTTTGTCTAGAATTTCATTCCATTTGGAATAGTCATTTAAAAGTTATTTGCAAAAATCTACCTTCAAATTAGTAAAATTTATAATACGGCCCAGAGAAGCTACAATTAAAATACCAGCAAAAATGTGATCGTGTCATTGTCAAATTCGGTGTCACATTTTGTTTACAAAAATTTGTAAGTACCAAATAGAATAATTTCGTATAAAATAATTATGACTTCAAACCCAACTTCTGAAAAAGTTAAAAACCAAACGAAACCAAACGGCATTTTTCTGAAAATAGTATTCTTGTTGTGTTAGATATCTTCGCCAGCTCAGTCTCCGGAAAGCCTATACTTAATAAGTCAACAGAGTTTAAAGACTAAACCAGAGGGTTGAAACTAAAGGCACTACACTAAGGTATTAAGTAAGCACATGGAAGTGTGAAGACAAAAATAATTGAACAACAATGACCTGAATATTCTTCATGTTGAAGAAAAGAAAAACATTGACTCGCGTTTATTGGGGCTACAGTAGGAAAATACCACAGGATCTTTCACCGAACAAATTCTTCCTGTGGAGCACACTCAAAAACTATCTTTATGGGAATATTAAATACAGAAATTTAGATGGACTGAAAACGACATCTCTGTGAAATGCTAAAATATTCTCCACTTAACAGCTTTGTATTTTGAGGCGTGAATTTCACAGTCATTTGGGGTATTGTTTGGCTGTGAATGGGGGATTATGTAAACATTTTATAAA